TTTCAAGTAAGTCGGCGCTTGAAGTTCCGTGCCTGCTTTACGAATTGCAGCGCAATGAGCTTCACGCTTCGCGCAAAACGGTAAGTTGAACATATAATCCCATACGTCACATTGTTAACCAGTCTACCTGACGCGTTTAAAATGTTTCAACCATTAGGACTCATTTCCTAATTGCACACCCATTCATCGTGTGTCCAACCTACACAAATCACAAGCACTCTTCAGCCAATATTATTTTTCTAAACAAAAAACGCAAAATAGTGCATTGACTCCCCCCATAAGTAGGGCTTTCAGGAAACAGAAGAATGAGTTTTTTCCCTGCGAGGAAAACAGGCAAGCGAGTGTCAATAATGCTCCTCACACGACTACAACAAAGAATATAAGCAATGGATCATACAATAATTACTCTAAGTGATCATCGAAGATACTGCGATTTAGTGAACTGAATTAACAGCTACTCACGTGGCGACAACAAGGAAAGACCGTCAAATTCCCACTCAAAGACCAAAAGGACGCAAATTCGCTAACCTCAGTGGAGATACGACACGAGGCGTCGCATGAGTGGTGTAAACAAACTTCTAATACAAATCATGAAAATTCATGCACATCCTTTTTCCCGGATAGACATTTAGCGAAAAACAGGTTGTTTTTACATTCCCACTTATTCATCACACTTCAATCCAAGTGGTAGGACATAGTCAAGCACATTTCCACAAAAGAAAGAGAAAACAGAGCCCAAATAATCATTATATCGTATTTAAAGCCGCATGGTACAGTGACACAGAAATAAAGATTTGAAGTGAATCCCTTAGACAAAATTATGTTTCTAAAAGGCAGTTGCAGAAAACCGTGCTCCCTCTACGCATGGACCGGTCAAAGACAAAAAAAAATATAATACTCCGGACAGTCTAGTCTTTAAGAGGTAGCATTATATCTGAGGCATAAACATCTGGCTTGTGGTGAGTGACTAGCCTCCACAACTAGGGCAGCTTGTGTGCTGACAACGCAGTCGCATTTATATGGGAGAGGAATAGGCAGTAGCCATTTGTCTCTTAAGCAAAGTTATTGATATCATAGAACATAATTGCAGTAACGTCAACAAGTAACATTTTTCAATCCAAATTCATTCCATACGAAATAAAAAATCCTCATAAATCTTGCTGCTAACAAGTAATTTCGAGGAACAATATTACATGACACACCAAATACCAACAGAAATGGCAGATCCGCTTCGACCTGATTCAAATTTATATGTGGACAGATTTTCCCCTATAAATTTGGCAGA